CAGGCTAACCTGAGTGATATTCAGGCTAACCGGAGTGCAGACTCTCACTACGATTAGCCTGAATAATCCGGTTTACGGTCAGCACCCGATAATGGAAATATTACCGCGATAGCGATATACACTAAAAAGTCTGTAGTCTGCAGTCTGTATTTTACCCCCGGTCTAGAGTCTGGAGCCTGCAGTCTGCAGTCCGCAGTCCGCAGTCCGCAGTCTTCGTTTTACGCAGACTGTTTTGTAAATTGTCTTTTTGAACACCTCTTGCAGGAGTGGAGGTATTCCGCATTCTCGCCTTCGGTGATAGCCTCACAAACGGTTTCCATGGTGATGACAAGAGCCACACCCCTTACGCCCAGACACTGGAGTATCTGTTAAACAAGGACATTCACAGGTGTTATACCTTGACAACAATAGCGAAAGATGGCACTGAAGCAGCCGAAATGTCCACCAGGCTTCAAAATCATCTGCGAGATGGTACATGTTATTTTAAATAGTGTTAGATGTTGTTTTATCCCTGGGGAACTACTATATAAAAAGGACGGGAGCACTCGTGAGAAATTTCGAAAAAAACCCGTCAAAAGTACCAAAATCTTGTTTTGTGGGCGTGCCTTGAATTTTTTTCACCCCTAAGAGGTACCATTTCTAGAACAACACGATAAAGACGATTACTTTGAATAGCTTCTACTCGTAAATTTAGTTGTCAGATCATGATATCCTGTTATATTTTTTCGGCTCAATACCCTAAAAGATACCTCAAAATCTCCCACTGTGGACCTTTTGAGGGTGAACACCTGAGAGGTACCAAAACCGCTGTCATAACCCCTGAAAGGTACAACGAGCCGCCCCGTCCTTTTTATATGGGACCCAAACCTGTAAAAGGATGACTTGAGGCGGATCGGAAAAATACCTGCGCATGTAAGCAGTTTATTTAGTGCGCGTAATTTCCAAAGATTCCAACAAAATGCAGAGACAAATTTTAAGCAAAATTAAAGCTTTGCACATTTTTCTTGTGCTCGTAAATGTCAGTCCTGTTTGTGATAATAAGGAATGATGAATGAGTTTTACCCAATAGCTTTCTTACACTGTGCATGGACTTAGTTAACACCTTTACCTTTTGTTTCAACAGCAAAATTTAAATACTCCTGGGTTATTATCCTGGCCGGTACAAACGACATCGCTCATAACAGCAAAACTCGTTACAGAAAGGACTGGGACACAGCGGTCGAGCGCATCATCAACCTCCACATAACTTCACATCGTCATGGCGCGAAAACAGTAGCAGTCACCATTCCTGAAATGGACTGCGAAGAATCTAAAAGACCAGCTTGTCTTCACTCGCATTTGGAAAGAAAATACATCAATGAAAAGTTAAGATATTATGCCAGATCGAATGAGTTTACTATCCTTTGCGACCTGGCGGTGAAATTTCCGAGGTATTCTTTGAGTATTGACGAGCGAAAAATGATGTGGGAAGTGGGACTGCACATGAAACCGGCAGGATATGAGCGTATGGCGGAGATCATTTACAAGGACCTGTTGGCTAATGTTTGATAACAGCAAGGAAATGAATTGTTGAACATTTATAAACCAATGAACCAGAAGAACTTAAACTTGAAACTTGACTGCTGTTTTTGTGACCATGGTTTACACGCAAACATGTTCTATAATGGATGCTTCTTTGTTCCGTTTTGTATCTTAGAACTTAAAGTAAAACATTATGTTTAAGTGAGAAGCTTGCAGGATTGTATAGACAGTATAGAATAACATATAAATCTGTCTAAAATCTAGACAGCATTCTTTATTGCTTATTTGTAACTATAATCCACGTTCACTAGAGAAATCGCGCTAGGTTTTGAACTTAACAAATAGAACTTTACAAATAAATGTGGTAAGAACAAAAAAGTGGCACACGAGCCGTCAGGCAAGTGTGTCATTGATGTTCTTACCACATTTTTACGTCATCTGTGATCTATTACTGAACAGACGCACTGAATCGTGTAATTTATTTATTTATTTTTTTTATATAATAAAGAAACAACAACAACAAAAACTGTTACTGACGTCACCTATGCGTCTGTCCTCCGATAAATCACAAGTAACAACCAATCAAAATTTGAGAATAATTCGACATGTTATATAAAGGAGATTTTCATAATATCTCTGATGTAGAACAGTTCCATGGAATTAAGCAACTTGAATTATCGTTGGTGAGTTGTTAGGATTCTTCCCAGCAGTTTTTTGTATGCTGGCGGCTTACAACGTACCTGGACTCTGAGCTCAGAGACTGGGGAAGAGAGATGCCCTTTGAGTGAAAGTAATAAGTGTTTACCAAAGAAACAAACAAAAACAATTAATTAGTTCTCGAAAATCGTCATTCCAGATCTAAATTTCCACGTGCGATAACCTTCACAGGCCACCGTGCCTGTCTGTGTTTAGAAAGGAATGGATCTCGACTATCCTTACTTGCGATAAATATCTCTAATTTAAATTAAAACTGCTCTTGTGCACAAGAGACATATTTTAAGGGTTTAATTCTTTGTGTTCAAATGAAAATAAAACCACAATAAGCAGCTCGCGAAGTAGGGTGTGTTCTTTGTTGATTTTGATCACGGTACCATAGCAACTTTGTCTACACTGGTTTCCCGGTGTCGCTATTGACCGCCGAACAGTTTTAATCAAAACTACCTGACCTCAAGGGCAGGTGGGATTAGTGGAATTGAAGACATGACATCACAGGTCACCATTCTTGAAAGCGTTTTTCACCGAAAAATCGAGAAACGCGACGGAAAAACACGAGGCAATTAACATGGCGTAGCCGCAAATCCGAAGCATAACTGGAATCAGTCAAAAGAGAAACCTTGAACAAAAGGTATATATATTCTCTTTAAATGTTAACCAGGAATTTTGTAAAGTTTTTTCTCGTTTATTTGTTTTGGCTTACTGAAACCTGTTTAAACCGATGAAGATTTGGTAATGTTTTTGGAGCTTTTCTGTGTTGTTAAGTTTTGTTTTATAGAGATAGCGTTAGAATTTGAGATGTTAGGTTTAGTTTGGAGAAATCCTGTTGTTAAAATTCCACATTGATCGGGAAGTTTCACGTTGCTTTCTTTACCAGCAAACATTATTCATGCATGAATGATCGTGGTATTGCGGGATGTGAAGCTTTGCACGAGTTGAATGTCATTCAATGAAGACAGACCGAATATAGATAACTCCTGATATATTAGCACCATCATACAAAAGACAGTGGGAAATTCAGTGAAAAGTCTCTATTTCGCCCGCCATTGAAAAAAATTTCATCTTCCTGTGCCATGACAGTGGAAGATCGCGAAAGACGTGCATTTAGATCACAGTCGACTCACGTGCAAATACAAACTCATCTAACAGATTGTCGCATATTCCCCGTATCCACCGAGAGAAAGTATTTATTTACTGTGTAACAATTTTCTCGTTTAATGTTGGTAGTGGCCTTGGAAATAATCAGCTGGTTGTTATATGCCTGTTTATCTCAGCAGAATGGAGTTTGATAACTTTACAGAAGACCTAATTTTAATTGGAATCATGTTTGTTAACTGTTCCAGGAAGTCTAGCCGTGATTAACATTATTTTCCTCTTTTTAACTTGGAGATATCAAACATACAAGTCAGGAAAAGAAAAGAATGTATAAATTGTCTTCTCTTAGACACGCGAATAATCACGGGATTATTACTCCACCAACTAAAGTGACAGTATTGAAGCTTAGCTGAGTAATGCATTGTTGGAAAATAATTTGTGTGTCATTTGGAGTTAAAATGTCTTTTCCTCTACACTGTAGTGACGCAAGGTGCTCTACTGTTTAACGCGTGCGTATACACGTGCTTACGCATTTAGCAGTCTTTTTGTAACACATTGTATTTTTTATTTTTTAATAGTTCTCGTCGCACTGTCCAAAATGGCTAGAATTTCTAACGTAGCTGCTTTCTTCTTGATTTGGAGCTGCGGGTTTTGTTATGCAGGTAAGCAAAAATAGATCTGGTTGAAACAGGAGCATATTTGCTTCTGGTTGAAATGGTTTTTACATGGATAAAAGGAAACTGTTCTCCGTCTTAAAACTTGCATTTATGTGATTTAACTCCCAGTCCAAGTGTTCGTCAAAGGTGCGCACGGAATGGTCTCGTGGAAAGACTCGCCTACTTGGAGGGACAGATCAGGTAGGCTTACATAGAATACACATCTTGTTCTACGTTAACGTTTTTTTCAGATAATTTTTTTGGAAAATAAATGAAATGTTTAAACTGTTTACAAAAAGAAAGAGAAAAAAAATAGTTTCTATCCTTTACGATGAGGCAATGATTTGCTTACAAGGCAATGGGTTATATGTTGATAGTCGACGTTTACAAACGTCATTTGCTCATCAGAGTAATTTTTTCCTAATCAGAATAATAATGTTAATTTTTTTCGAAAATTTGAGTTATGCTTTA